AGTTGCTCAAGACTCTGCCGAATAAAAGTTACTGTTCGGTCAACAGTACACCCACATTAGTTTAACTCTCATCCACCCACGTATAGATTCGTGATTACATACTTCCAACCTGTTAGATGTGTACATGTTGCCACTCCTCCATCACTGTGGGATATTTGAAGAGATGTTTGCACATATCCATAGCAATGCTACATGATTTTGCTACATGTAGATTTTTTCTCTATCCACAAAACTCTATGTCCAGTGACAAGCAGAAGTAAGATAACAGAACAGTTATGGAGATTGCATGTGTTAGTGTCATGGGGTTTAACCTCTCCAGTAGAACAACCATTTCTGGCAGTAACACACTGTGAGTCAGAACAGGTAAATGGTTTAGTATAGTCTTTCTCTTGAGAGTTGTTGGCTCAGAAGCACCAAGGCTTACTTTTGAAAATTTTACTCTGAAAGGAAATACAGGCTCCCCATTATCACAAATATATATATATATATATATATATATATATATATTATTTATTTATTTATTTAAAAATATGATTCCATCGCTACATAAGAGTTCTCATGTTTCAAAACAAGACCTGAAAACTTCAATATAATTATTTGAATTCAAATTCAGACTAATTCAAAGTGGAAGATGACATCATCTAGTCTGGTTAAGTGTCTATGGAGATTTATTTCTTTATTTTTTTATAAAAAAATAAAAAAAAAATAAATAAATCTGAATTTGAATTTAGACACCCCAAAATTACCCTGACTTGACCTCTTTGAATGTAACTGAGATATTGATACAAATTATTAACCCTTACGCCCCTTTTTTTTAAATAATTGCTCTAGCCATTACCATAGTAATTTTAATTTTAATAATGAATATGCTTATAAAACGTGTAAATTTCAAGAATTAGTTATTCAAAAAAAAATTTCACTCGAAGATGGAACAGAGCTTGCTACTTTAATTCAATTTAATTCAAATAATTATATTGAAGTTTTCGGCTCTTGTTTTGAAACATGAGAACTATTATGTAGTGATGGAATCATATTTTTAAATAAATAATTATATTTATGCTCTACTTTTATATCGAGCACTATTTTTTAAAAATAATAACAAAAATACTAAAGAACTTTGGATTATTTACCTAACAAGTTCTTTCCTATTTTCTATATATTTTCACACACACACACACACACACACACACACACACACACATATACACACACATAGAAACATACATACACAAATACAAACATATTTTACACTAGATGTTGAAGTAAACAGTTCATTACCAAACACACCACTTATTATTCCTACTATTATCATGATTTCTGTTTAAACAATAATTAATAGAACCAATCATTAAATAAGAAAAGAATAAAAGTTTTTGTTATATAATATATATATATATATTCTTTTAATCATTTATCAAAACAAATTAATAGATTAATAAGAGATTTAAAATGCTATTTTCTGAAAAATCATACTGTTTAATAAGAAAAAATAAAAGAACAATAATTAAGACACAAAATATAAAAACGTGAAAAGAATTTCAAGATCAAAGGAAAACCATGGAAAGAAGATTAAAGAAAAGAACAATAAAAGAACAAAATTAAGAAGACAGAAGATAAACAATTGACATTGTTTTAAATTTTCAAGATCAAAGTTGGTGGAAATTTAAATTTTTCAATAAAAAAACAATCAAACAGAAGATGAATTGAAATTGCATTTTAATTTTTGAACATCAAAATTGAAAATTAAGCCAGACAAACATTAAAGTGCTCTTTAACAATAAAAGAACAAGAATTAAAAGAAGAAGATAACAATCTGACATTGCATTTGATAGATCAAAGTTGAGAAACTTATTTAAATGGAGAAAACAATAAAAGAACATATTAAGAATATTAAGATAACAATTGACATTGTTTAAACTTTTCAAAAAGTTGAGTGGAAAGCAAGAAGACTGAAACATTATTCAATTTGAAAAATAAAAGACAAAATTTGACAATTGACTATTGCATTTTTTAACTTTTCAATCTAAGAATTGCAAAAATTATTTGGAGGAATTCAGGTAAGTAGTAACGAATGAATTGCATTTAAAAATTAGATCAAAGAGTATTTAAGCAAAAAAGAAACATTAAAAGGAGAGATTTTGAAAAAAGAAACTTTGTCTTAAGAATACTGAATTAGATAAAATTTTGAACATTGCATTTAAATTTTTTTCAAGATCAAATTTATAGCAAAACATTATTATTAGAAAAGAAAAAAAAAGAACAAAAATTAAGAAAAAATCAATATAACGATTGACATTTATTTAATTTTTTAAGCCTATCATTATTGATTAAAAAGCAAGAAAACGAAAGATTTTGAAATATTGGGAACAATATAAAATAACATTTTAATATATAAAGAAGTAACAATTGACACCATTTAAACTTTTAAAGATCAAACTTGACTCTTTTTTTTTTTTGTTTTTTTGATTCATCTCTAAATATATTTATCTATTCAACAAGTTTTGGAATTTTGAAATTTAATGGGTTTATTGCATTGACCAATTTGTTAAAAATGTTTTGATGGTTTTTTTGAGATGCCAAATTCTTTTTACAGGGTCTCTTCATATATCTTTTTGAATAAATTTTAATGTTTTTATTAATTTAAAACTCCAGATTCATGAGAAATTTTCAAAACTTTTTTATCTTATTAATTAAACTTATCTTATCATTATCTCAGAACAAATACTAATTATGAATTTCAAATTTCAGATTCTTATCTTCTTATATGTTGGTAACAATGTAACGACTTATAAATTTATAAGCATTTAAAATGTCCTTTTCTTCTATTTTTTTATTTATTTTTTTATTTTATTTGTCTATTTACTTCTTTTGACTTATTAACTTAATTCATGATTTCTTTAAAAGTGTCATGAAAATAAAATGCTTTTTTTCCTAACTTGGTATATAAAGAAAGAAAAAAAGCTTGAGTCTACAAATAAAATTCTGAGACTTCTATTAGTCTATCCATTCCGAGACTTCCATTAGTCTATCCATTAGTCTATCCATTCTGAGACTTCCATTAGTCTGTCCATTAGTCTATCCATTCTGAGACTTCCATTAGTCTATCCATTAGTCTATCCATCCATCACACCCTCCAAAATAGCCATACATTGACCGATCGAAACTAAATTTTGGGGACAAGTGCAAGCAGGTAAGGGAATCAAAGTACCATTGGATTTGTGATGCAGGGCTTAATACAATTTTTTTTGAAAGATTAAAAGTTTTATCATTTGACATACAAAATACTCCCATTATTTTAAAAACAATTTAATGATTAAAATAACAAATACTTATTTAATAAAAAATGTAATATTGTTTTTTGAATACTTTTCTTTAAGTTTTTATATATACAAGAATCAATTATCCAGTTAGCCCTGTGTTTGTGGGAACTATAAGCAAATCACAAAGCTAAATGTTTCAAAATGTTGGAATTTGGCACCAAAAAGAAATATTTACATGTGGCCAGTTGAATGGTACATGCTCAAGAGTAAGAAATCCTAAAAATTTATTCTTCACTATCAAAAAAGAAAAAAATAAATTTTCTTAAAAATATTATTCACCATGAAGTCCTATAAAATTAAATTAAAGAAATTATTAAACCATCAAGTAAGGTTTCTGTCAAAGTATTTTCCCAAACAAATCAGTTTATTTAAATTTAATCAATTGGTTTGCAAAATTAAACAAAACATAAAGTAAATAGAAAAAAAAAAGTTAAAATTTCAATTTGAAAAAAAATTTTAATTTCAACACACATAAAATACAGATTTGAAAAATGAAATAAAATTGATTTCATCAAACAGACAACCATCTTATACCTGAAAATAAAAGTAAATTAGAATAATCAAGCATTTATATTATAATAATCTCAAAAAATACCAATTGTGAACAGAAAATTAAAGAATGTGTGAAAAAATAAAAGGGATAGAAGACAAGATCATTGTGTTTTGCACCAGATTTATTCAATTTATTCATAAGTTAATTATCCATTTACCATGAATCATTATCCATAACCCACTAAAATGCATTTAAACTGGTGTTTGCCCATATAAACTGAAAAATTGTACGACTCATACAACAATCGCTTTCACTTGACTTTCAAAATATTTTTTGCCCTTCCTTGCCTTTAAAATAGTGCCCTTTGCCATGCTGATGTTGTTACATGCCTTTTAAACTTCTTGCCTATCTCACACTGTAAATTTTTTTAATTTTTTATACTAAACATTAAATCTGTTACAAAAAAGAACTAAACAAAATGAACACAAAACGATCAGCTTTAAAAAGGACTCGTAACTGGAAAAACCGAATGAAAAAAAGAATGTTAATAACAAATAATTTTTTTTCACCAAACCCAGTTCTGCGGAATCAGAATCAACATTGAGTTTAAGCAAGAAATGATGGTTCATGAGTAAAGTGCCATGCAGATTTAAATTTTTTACTTGTGTGACGAATGCAGCTATATCGATTTTTTTTGCATGCTAGTTAACATTGATGTCAGTCAGCTGTTGGCTCTTAAAGCTGTCCAATAGAATCTTCCTGCCTATTCGTGGCAGCCAGCTATAGGCTCTCACTCTGGCCAGTACAAAATGGCTGCAAACTAGATGAAAACTGCCGTAGAAGCATGAAAAAAATCGATTATTTCCACTATCAATGGGAGTTGGGAAATGCAAAGTCAGTCTTGGTCTTCCCATTAACTTTTAGTATGTGCATGTAAATTTTTGATGACAAATCCATCAAAAAAATGCAGATATGCATTTGTTACACACACACACAATCCTGCCTTTTATAGATCTTTTTTAGACAGTTACTAAACAGCTAGAATGGATGAGCAATAAAATACACTTATGACTGTAGGAGACACATAACCAATAAGATTATCTGCTAGTTTTGTTCCAATGTTGTTGGTCCAATCATTAGATGATTTCCTCGTGTACTTTTTGGTTTTTCGGCAATCAATCTGCAACAGTCCACTTCCCACCATGGACTGCATTGTATTCTTCCTGTGGCAAAAAAAAAGATGCATAAAAAATATCCATCTTTGTCACTTGTAATTTTATCATCAGGGAAACAAAGATTTTCTTTTTAAAATTCAATCATCTGATTGAATTAGTAAATTGCTGTAACAAGATTTAACTTGGCCACCGAATTTGACTGTTAAGAATTTAGTAATTTGCTATGTCAATCTAAATATCATAACTTTGAAATAAGATCTGCTAAATTTTTTATAATTATTTCAAAAAGATTTGTTCTTGTTTATTAATAACCAAAATTAATAAAAAAATCATAATTGTAGATTCTTGTTAGCATCGTTAATTTAATAAAATGAGTCTATAAAGGCAGGCTATCTTTTTACCTGAACCTATTCTGTTTATTTTCTAACAAAAATCTGAGACTGGAAACAAATTTATGAGTGGAGTATCAAAAATTTAAACCATTTTGATAATTTAATAATAAATCTTTATTTATTACGATATTTGTTGAAATTCTGTTATTATAACTGCCTGTTAAAAAATGATGCTTTTGACTCTAAAAACATCAGCTGTCTTAATTTCTTAGCCATATTCAAACTGAATTTCTAGTAGTCCCAAATATCCAATGAAATACCTATCAAGTTTAAATGAAAGAAAATTTCTCTGGATATTTTTAATTCAGAACTGTAGTGGTCATGTGTTTATTAGAATTTTACTATTTCCTAAATCATTTCATAGCATAACTAACATTTTAAAACTACCAACATTGACAAGTAATATAAAGAATTATTTTCGAATATAAAAAGGACAAAAAACTAAACTTTTATAATTTGTTGGATTACTACCCTCTGATTAATAAAATCTCATTGCAGTAAGTTTTTTGAATTATCACCCTCTGATGATTTACAGACTCTCAGTGACTTTTCATAGTGAAAAGACGTTCAAGAAACTTAGCTCCTGCAAAACTTATCGTAATCAACTAACCACACTAATAGTTCCATAGAACTTTTCATATTTCATTTCATTTTTCATCTTTTCTCCTGTAAAATGTCCTGATAATATATTTGTTAATATTTTTTTATTCAAATTCTATGTCTTATTATTCCTTTGAATTTATACAAGTTCACCAAAATTGTTAGCAAATCAAATGTACCAGGGGCTTATAACTTCTCATCAAAAGAATATATAACCCGTTACAAATTTTAAGAATCAGTTCATTTGAACCATTGATCGATATCAAGAAAGCCCCAGATAATTCTACTAATAGTAGTGGAAAGTAGGTAAGGGGACTGTGAAGGTTGGACTAAAAAGTGAACCCATTGAAATGCCATCACATTGCACCAATATTATTCCTGTTCTCATTTAAAATTTGGACTTCAATTGGTAAATATATAAAAGTACTTTTTGTAAATATTTTAAGCAAATTTTTAATAGGGATAGTGATGAATTTTATATATTTTTTAATAATAATGTCAATGGTTTCTCTAACTATTCTGTTAAACAGATTTTCAACATCAAGTCATGCTATGGATCCAACTCTTAGTAACTTCTAGGACCAAAATAGAAAACTGTTCTATATTTTTAATGGGTGAGAAAAAACTCCATCTACCTTTGACATGTAGATGATATACATATTTTAGTTAAAAACATAAAAGAAATAATTCCAACTCCAAAAATCTTTCAAAAAAACTCTGTCCTCAAGTTCACATATTAACAAAGATAACAAAATGTTCTTTTGCATTGATATTTTAATGGACACAAATAACAACACATTTACTTTGGTATATAACAAAATATACTAACAAGAAGGCTTACATTATCATGTTTGACTATTCGTCCATTGTTGGATTCTACAACATTCCTGTCTGCATTCAGCTAATATGAAAATTAAATTTGACAAAATGGAATATCCTACACCATGGAAACAACAAATTTACATTACAGATACTAGAAAAAAAAAAAAAAAAATTAAAAATAGTGCTGAACAGTTTTTCATAATCCAACATTACCATTACAATATTATTATACTTTGAGAGAAAAAATTCCCTAATGGATAATTTTTTTATGTTAAAAGCCCTCCCCACTCAGCGCATTGTCAAATTTTTTGCATTTAAAATCTTCATAATAAAAAATTTTTTTGGCGGATTTTAATGCACAACTTTGTATAAATACTTATATTAATGAACAACATATAGTCTTGTATGCATTACTGGGGATTTCTTGATCTTGAAAAAAGATCCAAAGTACATTTATTCTTGTTCTTTAAAAGAAATTTAAGCAGTTATAGCTGATTTTCTCTTATGTTTAATTGTGTGAAGATTATTCATTAGTATGAATAGATTTTTGTTGAAAATTATTGGCTTCTATAATGTTTGTAATTTATTAAATTTTTGATGCCTAAAAGAGAATTTCATTGCCTTTGTCACAAATTTTAAATTATATTTCTAGCAATTACATTGAATAATATCACCTGACAATTTAAACATGGCCCTGTAAAAAGGTCATCCAAATCCTGTGTTTAAGAAACACTGGATAAATGGAAGCCCAGAGAATTACAATACATTACAAAGAAATACCCCTCTTGAATAGCTTAAACAAATCAAATAGACTAAAATCAAATTACTAACAAATTGGAATCAGAAAGCAATTATCTTTCCTTCATACCTTTGAAATGTGCTTTTATCACTGAAATCTTTCCCTTCAAAATATGATTTAACTGACCCTCGACATCTCCAAGAACTACTCAACCTTTTTTATAACTGCCATATATACAAAAATATAGTGGACTACATAAAAATCAACTTAAAGCAGAATCTAATAAAATCATTCCTGTCTATAAAATTGAAAATTCATCTAAACTTCTCCTAAATTCCTAAAAATCCCACAAAAGAATTATGCAACCACCCATCCTTGGCCCCATTAAAAAAGTTGATTTTCAAACATCCTTTGTTGTTTTAAAGATTACCAAGTTGGCATCTATACAGACAACACTACAATTTACTCCTGCCTCAAAAAACAAATCTAGTGTCGCTGACAAAACTAACCTGACCACTCGTCTTGAAACGGACCTCCAATCGGTCATTAATTGGGGCAAGAATTGGCTGGTCAACTTTAACGCCTCAAAAACTAAACTACTCTCAATTAATCACCATAGAGATCCTTCCCTGCCCCCCATTAGAATGTCTGATAGTCAACTTCTTGAGAGCAACTCTCTGCGTCTGCTCGGTCTCACATTGACTGCTGACCTGAGATGGAACAAATACATTGAGTCAATTGCTTCATCCACCGCGAGGAAAGTTGGCTCTCTGTGCCGCGCCAGGAAATTTTTCTCCCCGGAATCGATACTTCAAATATACAAATCAACCATTCGCCCTTGCATGGAGTATTGCTGCCATATATGGTCTGGTGCACCTTCTGTTTACCTCGGAGTTCTTGACAAGATCCAGAGACGGATATGTAATATAATTGGCCCTGATCTGGCATCTCGTCTACAGTCACTCTCTCACAGACGCGCCGTCGCCTCTCTCTGTCTTTTTTACAAATACTTTCATGGTAATTGCTCTGATGAGCTGCTTTCACTGGTTCCCAGACTCCATGAATTCAAGCGCCCTACGAGGCTGGCATCCTGCTCTCACCCTTTCACTGTAGAAACTTTTAAATGTAGCCGTCTCTTCTACTCCAATAGCTTCATACCTCGCACCTCTCGCCTGTGGAACACCCTTCCCAATTACTGTTTCCCTGAGAGCTATAATCCCCAACTATTCAAATGTAATGTCAATCGACATCTCCAGTTACCTTGATCTATCCATTATCCTTCTCCTCATCCTTTCTTCTATCACTCCTATCTGCTCTCGCTCCAAATCTTCTGCAACTCCCCTGCATCCTAGTGGCTTCACGCCTTGCTCGGGGCGTAATGCTTAAAAAAAAAAAAGTCTGAGTATAACTCAAAAATTGAACAGTTACTTGATGATCACACCAAATTTAGAAAACTTTGAAAACTTACTAATGAAATTTTCAACTAAAAAGTAAATTAATAAAATAATCACAGCTGACAATGCGGAACAAGACAATCAAAAACTTAGTAAAATAATTGGAGACTATAAACCAGGATACTATGAAAATACATACACCTAACTTTCCACCCCACCCTATTATATCCCAAATTCCCACTCCTGTCTACCAACTAAAATGCATGTGTGTATATATGCATAGAACCACACACACACACACACACACACACACCACACACACACACACACACACACACACACACACTTTGAAGTGAGATATTAGTTTAATTATAAATAGTGTTGAAATTATTCTTTTAGAGTGAAACCAGATGTTAGCCACTTACTCCATGCTTCTGGATGGAGACATTAGTCAAGTGAACAAACATATTGTCCAATTCATTGATGTTGGCATTGTACTTGACCGTACAAAATCGGCAAAAGCCCAGCTGATACCTGAAATATCAGGAAAAAGAAAACAATGAACATTTGAAATTTAACAAAAGTTAAAAGTTCACTTAGATTGCAGGATTATCATTATTATTATTATTATTATTATTATTATTTACTGCTTTTTTTATATTTTTCAGGGAGGCATTTACAGGTTATCAACCCTTTGTTTAGATCTGAAACTTATTTTATATTGCAAGAATCTAGATTAATAGTTATTGTATCAAAAATATTGAAAGTTCACAATACCACAGGACCTACATTTTTATCTGGTTCATGAAGAGTGAAGTGTTGCAAACACACACACACACACATATATATATAAAAAATTAATGAATTTATTTTTTAATTCATCATTTTTCTTACTTCAAATGTCATTATAGGGGATACTTTGTATTTGAAATAGATGTCTTATATTTATTTATTAAACAGCCTGTGCATTCAAGAAGGTCATGAAAAATGTCAGAGTAAGCAAGGTGCTATTTTCCTTTTTTAAGAAAAGCACCTCCTCTACACACACATTATTTTCTTGGAAGTTTTATATTTTCCCTTCTCTTTTAATGTAGCTTTCCCTTTTAATTATAGCTTTTTCTTTTAGTCTCCCTTTATCTTTTGGCTTTTCCTTCTGTTTTAGAATACCTTTCAATTTCGGTTTTCCCTTCTCTTTTAGTGCCCCTTTCTCATTTAGTGTCCCTTTTTCTTTTGACTTTCACTTCTCTTTTAGTGTCCCTTTCCTTTTTGATTTTCCTTTCTCTTTTAGTGTCCCTTTCTCTTTTGGCTTTCACTTCTATTTTAGTGTCCCTTTTTCTTTTAATTTTCCTTTCTCTTTTAGTGTCCCTTTTTCTTTTGATTTTCCTTTCTCTTTTAGTGTCCCTTTTTCTTTTGATTTTCCCTTCTATTTTAGTGTCCCATTTTCTTTTGATTTTCCCTTCTATTTTAGTGTCCATTTTTCTTTTGATTTTCCTTTTTTTTAGAAATGTCCCTTTTTTGAAATTTTCCTTTCTATTTTAGTGTCCCTTTTTCTTTTGACTTTCCTTTCTATTTTAGTGTCCCTTTTTCTTTTGATTTTCCTTTCTCTTTTAGTGTCACTTTTTTCTTTTGATTTTCCTTTCTCTTTTTTTTGTCCCTTTTTTCTTTTTGATTTTCTTTTCTCTTTTATGTCCTTTCCTTTTTGATTTTCCTTTTAAAATTTTAGTCCCTTTCTCTTTTGGCTTTCACTTCTATTTTAGTGTCCCTTTTTCTTTTTTCAGTGTCCTTTTTTTTTTTGATTTTTTCTTTTCTAGTTTACAGTGTCCTTTTCTTTTGATTTTCCTTTCTCTTTTAGTGTCCCTTTTTCTTTTGATTTTCCCTTCTATTTTAGTGTCCCTTTTTCTTTTGATTTTCCCTTTTATTTTAGTGTCCCTTTTTCTTTTGATTTTCCTTTCTCTTTTAGTGTCCATTTTTCTTTTGATTTTCCTTTCTCTTTTAGTGTCCCTTTTTCTTTTGATTTTCCTTTCTATTTTAGTGTCCCTTTTTCTTTTGACTTTCTTTTCTATTTTAGTGTCCCTTTTTCTTTTGATTTTCCTTTCTCTTTTAGTGTCCATTTTTCTTTTGATTTTCCTTTCTCTTTTAGTGTCCCTTTTTCTTTTGATTTTCCTTTCTCTTTTAGTGTCCCTTTTTCTTTTGATTTTCTCTTCTATTTCAGTGACCCTTTTTCTTTTGATTTTCCTTTCTCTTTTAGCATCCCTTTTTCGTTTGATTTTCCCTTCTCTTTTGATATTCCCCCTCTTTATTGTCCTTTTCTCTTTTGATTTTACCTTTTCTTTTATTGTCCCTTTTTCTTTTGATTTTCCTTTCTCTTTTAGTGTCCCTTTTTCTTTTGATTTTCCCTTCTATTTTAGTGTCCCTTTTTCTTTTGATTTTCCCTTTTATTTTAGTGTCCCTTTTTCTTTTGATTTTCCTTTCTCTTTTAGTGTCCATTTTTCTTTTGATTTTCCTTTCTCTTTTAGTGTCCCTTTTTTTTTTTTATTTTCCTTTCTATTTTTTGTCCCTTTTTCTTTTGACTTTCTTTTCTATTTTAGTGTCCCTTTTTCTTTTGATTTTCCTTTCTCTTTTAGTGTCCATTTTTCTTTTGATTTTCCTTTCTCTTTTAGTGTCCCTTTTTCTTTTGATTTTCCTTTCTCTTTTAGTGTCCCTTTTTCTTTTGACTTTCTCTTCTATTTCAGTGACCCTTTTTCTTTTGATTTTCCTTTCTCTTTTTTTACATCCTTTTTTTCGTTTGATTTTCCTTTTAGCTTTTTGATATTCCCCTTATTTGTCCTTTTCTTTTTTGATTTTACCTTTTCTTTTATTGTCCCTTTTTCTTTTGATTTTCCTTTCTATTTTTTAGTGTCCTTTTTTTTTTTGATTTTTCCTTCTATTTTAGTGTCCTTTTTTTTTTGATTTTTTTGTTTTTATTTTAAATGTCCTTTTTTTTTTTATTTTCCTTTCTCTTTTTTAGTTCCATTTTTCTTTTGATTTTCCTTTCTTTTAGTGTCCCTTTTTCTTTTTTTTTTCCTTTCTATTTTAGTGTCCTTTTTCTTTTGACTTTCTTTTCTATTTTAATGTCCCTTTTTTTAATTGATTTTTTTCTTTTCTCTTTTAGTGTCCATTTTTTTTTTTGATTTTTCCTTTCTCTTAGTTGTCCCTTTTTATTTTGATTTTCCTTTCTCTTTTAGTGTCCATTTTTAATTGATTTTCTCTTCTATTTCAGTTGACCCTTTTTCTTTTGATTTTCCTTTCTCTTTTAAAATCCCTTTTTTTTTTTGATTTTCCTTCTCTTTTGATATTCCCCCTCTTTATTGTCCTTTTCTCTTTTGATTTTACCTTTTCTTTTAGTGTCCCCTTTTCTTTTGATTTTCCTTTCTCTTTTAGTGTCCCTTTCTTTTTTGCTACCCAACATTATTCTGCTTAATAGTTATTCTGTTCTTGATTTTGAGAACCACCTGCAGGTTTAAATCCTATCAAAACATTTTTTATTTCTCCTGTGCTGTTTATTTGCCACAGAATAAATGTTAAAACATACAAGAGGTTGCAATAAAAAGCAACAGAAATAAGATGAATCTTTCAAAAATGAACAATGGCAAATGATAAATCTTTACCAGATATTTTAAAATTTGTCAAAGTTACATAAACAAATTTTTCATAACATTATAAAGAGCAATTTCTGAAATAACAAAAATGATGTTTAGATATTATTTATTTGATGCCCAGTCAATTGGACATTATTATACTGATGTCCAGTCAAGTGGACATCTCAATGAAACCAATTTGGGCAGAAGGTGAAAAATGTGGAACATAGTCTTTAGCAATAGCTTTTGAGATGTATATGCAAAAAAAAAAATCACCTCCTATGTGCTCCATCCGTGAAAACATACATTTCTGTTCATTTAACTCAATAAAAACAGATAATTAAAAGGAACAGAACACCTTATTAAAAAATTGGGAGTGTGAAGCATCCTTCCTTGAAAACATTCCAACCATCACCTAAAAATCCTCGAGACAATGTATATTAAATCAAGACAATGATCCTTATGCAAACAAATGGATTGATTGTTAGGACTCAGTGTGATCTATCTATAGATAAATCCATATCAATATATTATTGATATGTGCATATTTGTTTCCTCATGGTTTTGTTTTTAGTTGGTGTGTACAATATTTTAATTTCCTTGGTTGAGTTCTGAACAGTGAGAAGCGATAACTGTTAGCTTGTTCTATAATACTTTTACTTCTCTTTTCATATTGCTAATTACTGCAACTGAACTTTTCCTCTTGTCCCTTTTAATTATGCCTGTTTTTATTGTGTTAATTAAATTTTGTACCACTAAAGAAATTTTGATGACAAGATGTTGCACAATAAAGAAAAAGAAGTTACTTACATGTAACATTTCAGTGGACGGAATGAAGTTACGAGGACATAGAGTCGAAGGTCAAACTTCTTCCCTCCAATCAGAAGTGGATTGTCAATATATTTTGAGATCACGTAAGTATCTTTGGCTGTTGGGGGTACAAAGCTGTGGTAAGAGTGCAGAGCAATTCATAAAATTAATCAAGAAAAAGATTAAATTTAAAATTAATTAAAACAATTAATACAAATACATAATTATCTCTGTCTATGTTTCTGAGATGACATATTGTAATTATTTACACTGTTTACATTGGTCAGACTGTTGTCCTCATCTTTGTTGCCATATTCACAACATTCCAGCCATTGTACGCTCAGGCCTTCATCAGAATCTGTCTATATTTCTGAGATGAGGTATTGCAATTATTTACACTATTTACATTGTTTAGACTGTTGTCCTCATCTTCATTGCTATATTCACAATGTTTCAGTTGTTGTATGCTCTGGCCTTCTTCAGGATATATTTCTGAGCTTTTCTGTTTCTTAATACTCTGCTTAACTTTTGAAATTCTTCTTTGTCTATCTTAATTTGGCTTCGAATTTCAGTGTCACAATTTATCCTCTGTTGAAACACTTCCTAGATATTTAAACTGTTGTACTTTTTTATTTTGGCATCTCCAATTTGTAACTTGCATGCTGGGTTGTCTCTTTTGCTTACAACCATGTATTAATGGCATATTTTATAACTGTGAAGACATTTTTTTTAAGTTTTCAAACAAAAGAATAAAAAAAAGTACCTGTTTGTTTTGCTGTCCCTTGACCATTTTTTCAATTGAGAAAGTTTGTTGACCAGGAAAATACCAACACCTCTGGCTAAAATTAAAAGAAAGGGAAATTCATGCAAAATTAATTGCTGACTGTGTATTTTCAATTTTTTTATTATTTCACCCGATGCAAGACAATAATACATCTAAGGTGAAAGGAATTAATGAGAGTGAAAAAAAAAACATTATTGAGGAGTAAGGACAATAAAAAACAGGATTAAAAAAAAATGACAAGTGATGTTGCATTTCAATTTTTGACAATCATAGTTGACAGGGAAGTATGAAGCCAGAAGAGAGTTCCTCAAGCAAGAAGTGCAAGAGAAGAAACTGTTAGCATAGAATTTATAGTTATATCTAACCATTTCAAGTGTAAAATGATGAGACCTAGCTGCCAATCAAGCATGAAGTTGAGGAACCGAAGAGGAAAGCAATATTTATTTTGAATAATACAAAAATGTGGCCCAAGTCCAAAAGCGGGGATCAGGGAAGGCTGGTCTTCAATCTGTCTTATTTTAAACTTAGCTAGCCATGATTACAGACCCAAACATAACACAGTATTCCTTACACCAAAACAACACATTCTTACAATAGTCACCATAATACCTCAAAGTCTTTAGGTAGTCATCACTAGTTCCCATATGTAGAATTTGTCTGTGGAGGTGGGGATAAAAAATAACAACATTTACAAATTAAACCCCAGTGAATATTTATAATTAATGCAATTTATATACAATAAACTAAACAAAATAGTGTTAGTAATAACCCCCCCAACACAAAGATGAAAAGATGAAAGCTCATCAGAACAATTACCATGAAAATATTTATAGAAAATGCATAGGGAAGCTATATTACAGTGGTGGGAAAGTGACTGAAGCCAAGATGCCAGGTCAAGACCGATAACATTGCAGATTCTTATTTGAATTTTGTGAAGAATCTCTAGATAGATAGCAGAAGAACCAGACCAAATGTGTCAGCAATATTCAATGCACAAATCCAGAGATGAATATGCAATATGATAGGTCCTGATCTGGCATCTGGTCTACAATCGCTATCTCACAGACATGCTGTGGCCTCCCTCTGTCTCTTCTACAAATATTTTCACAGTAACTGTTCTGATGAGCTACTTTCACTGGTTCCCAGACTACATGAATTTAAACAAGCTACTAGGGGGGCATCTCGGTCCCACCCTTTCACTGTCAAAACGGTTAAATGTAACTGTCTCTTCTTCTCAAACAGCTTCTTCTCCTGCACTTCTCATCTGTGGAACTCCATTCCCCTTACTTGCTTCCTCGATGACTATAATCTTCAAATATTCAAGTGTAATGCCAATCGACATCTGACAACCTGAGCTTATTCCCTGTCCTACTCTGTATCCTTTCCTCAAACACACCTCTTTACTCTTGTTCTCAATCCTCTGTAACCCCTTGTGTACTAGTGGCACTCCCACCTTGCTTGGGGTGAATTGCCTAAAAAAAAACAACCAGATGTTAAACGTATAAATGTTGAAGATAGATTCTGGCAAGAAAAATTGTCTAAAAAGACAAAGTGAACTGACTAGAAAACCTTTCTATTCTTGGCTCATTGTGTGTATTATATGAGGATGGACTGTAAACTTTATAGGCTGACTCGGAAGGAGTGATACTAGAACTGTGAAATCTTCTACGCATTAATTTCAGCTATCCTCATAAACAACTGCATTGTTTCTTTCCAGGTACAAGAATGGATTGATAGGTTCATAGGCTGACTCTGAAGGAGTGATGCTAGAGCTGTGAAATCTTGCATACAATGGTTTCGACAATTATTATTAATAACTGCATTGTTTCTTTCCAGGTATGAGGATGGGCTGAAAAGATCATAGGCTGACTATGAAGGAGTGATGCTAGAGCTGTGAAATCTTGCATACACTGATTACGACCATTATTATTGATAATAACTGCATTGTTTCTTTCCAAGCACGAGGATAGGCTGAAAAGTTCATAGACTGACTATGAAGGAGTGATGCTAGAGCTGTGAAATCTTTTTTGCATACAATGGTTTCAACTATTATTATTAATAACTGCATTGTTTCTTTCCAGGTATGAGGATGGGCTGAAAAAAGATCATAGGCTGACTATGAAGGAGTGATGCTAGAGCTGTGAAATCTTGCATACACTGATTACGACCATTATTATTGATAATAACTGCATTGTTTCTTTCCAAGCACAAGGATAGGCTGAAAAGTTCATAGACTGACTATGAATGAGTGATGCTAGAGCTGTGAAATCTTGCATACAATGGTTTCGACTATTATTATTAATAACTGCATTGTTTCTTTCCAGGTATGAGGATGGGCTGAAAAGATCATAGGCTGACTATGAAGGAGTGATGCTAGAGCTGTGAAATCTTGCATACACTGATTACGACCATTATTATTGATAATAACTGCATTGTTTCTTTCCAAGCACAAGGATAGGCTGAAAAGTTCATAGACTGACTATGAAGGAGTGATGCTAGAGCTGTGAAATCTTGCATACAATGGTTTCGACTATTATTATTAATAACTGCATTGTTTCTTTCCAGGTATGAGGATGGGCTGAAAAAGATCATAGGCTGACTATGAAGGAGTGATGCTAGAGCTGTGAAATCTTGCATACACTGATTACGACCATTATTATTGATAATAACTGCATTGTTTCTTTCCAAGCACGAGGATAGGCTGAAAAGTTCATAGACTGACTATGAATGAGTGATGCTAGAGCTGTGAAATCTTGCATACAATGGTTTCGACTATTATTATTAATAACTGCATTGCTTCTTTCCAGGTATGAGGATGGGCTGAAAAGTTCATAGGCTGACTATGAAGGAGTGATGCTAGAGCTGTGAAATCTTGCATACAATGGTTTCGACTATTATTATTAATAACTGCATTGTTTCTTTCCAGGTATGAGGATGGGCTGAAAAGATCATAGGCTGACTATGAAGGAGTGATGCTAGAGCTGTGAAATCTTGCATACAATGATTTCGACCATTATTATTGATAATAACTGCATTGTTTCTTTCCAATGCACGAGGATAGGCTGAAAAGTTCATAGACTGACTATGAATGAGTGATGCTAGAGCTGTGAAATCTTGCATGCAATGGTTTCAACTATTATTATTAATAACTGCATTGTTTCTTTCCAGGTATGAGGATGGGCTGAAAAGATCATAGGCTGACTATGAAGGAGTGATGCTAGAGCTGTGAAATCTTGCATACAATTGTTTCGACTATTATTATTAATAACTGCATTGCTTCATTCCAGGTATGAGGATGGGCTGAAAAGATCATAGGCTGACTATTTGCTAGAGCTGTGAAATTTGTGAAAATTGGTTTCGACTATTATTATTAACTGCATTGTTTCTTTCCAGGTAAATGGACAAAAGATCATATTTGAAGGAGTTGCTAGAGCTGTGAAATCTATTCAATGGTTTCAACTATTATTATTAATAACTGCATTGTTTCATTCCAGGTATGAGGATGGGCTGAAAAGATCATAGGCTTTATCAAGGAGTGATGTACTAAAGCATACAATTGTTTCGACTATTAATTAACTGCATTGCTTCTTCATTCAGGTAATCTAACATCTGACTGTTTTAAGAAAACTTTGAAAATAACTAGTAGTGACTTCTCTTGTAAATGGACAATATTTGGTTTAGTCCCCAAGGATATTCATGCCGATATGATTACTACATAAGGAGGTGAGGTCTCAGCTTTATCACAGTACTAAAGTGGACAGCTGAATTTAGTCAGCGAAGGGAGAGTCTTGAAGATGACTCATGGTTTGGATTTTTAATTTATGAGAACCAAAGAAATCATCATGTTCACCCCATGGTAATGGATGACATGCCTCTTCCAAATTTCTCAGTCTCAGTTATTTCCCTTTAGTACTTCAGCTCTCCTAGTTTTTGTTCACTTCTGCTGTGTATTGAACTCACAACTCTTTGGGTCAAGTCCCTGGATTACTTCAACCAACACTTTCATCCACTGGACCATGTGTCCTTGGGGAGCACAGTATGCAGGTGGAGCTAGAACAATCTACTCTGGTGGATAAAATAATGAGCTTGGTTCAAAATTCCAATCACCTGAAGAAGGCCAGAGCACACAACAGCCAAAAACATTGTGAATGTGGCAACAAAGATGAGGACAACAGTCCAAACAATGTGAATAGTTTAAAAGAAAATATGTATATAAATAAAGTTTAAAAAAGAAAAATTTTTTAACAAAATTCATTCTGGCATGAAATAAAAAATGTCATTATAAACAATCGATAGTTCTTCTTTTCTTCTATGTGCTGCATCCCTTCAGGACTTTGGCAATCATGGCTCTCCACAACTCCCTGTCTTTTGTAGCTCTTAATAAATTTTATCTTTTGGCTATATCTCCCAAACCCCACTCCACCATTCATTTACTCAAACTCACTAGGAAGGTTGTGTATTGTTTTTCTCTTTCCCTCTTGCTTTCAATCTATCCTGTAAGTATCAAATTTTCCAAGCCTTTTTTCCTCTGTTTGAAATTATAACTATCTCTTCCTAATGGTATGTATAAGTGCTCTTTTTGTTCCCAATGTCGCTAGAACTTTGACATTGCTCACAATATCAGTCTATGATATCCTCAACATTCTTTTGTAAAACCACGTCTCTGTTGCTTCAGTCACACCTTCATCTTTGAGTAGATTGTTCAGCATTCACTTACCATACAGGAGAACTTGTATTACATAAGTGTCTAGTACTCTTTTCTTTGTTTCTAACAACATTTTTCTATTTCTTAATACTTTGCTTAGATTTTGGGAGGCATCTTCACTAGCCCAATGTGCCTTCAGATTTATATTACTATAACAGACCATTTCATGTCAGAACTATTAATGATTATTTCATATCTTAAATTATCCCAATATTTACAAATCTGGTACCTTTTTCTCAACATACCTTTACCACAAGGCTTCATGATCCACATTGTGTTGGGATGTTTACGAAATTCTTCCACAAACAGATTGTAATCGGCAGGAAGCATGAAAGTTTGAGGAATGAAATCTGAAATAAAAAAGGGAAAATTACCTTTTATACTACTTTATATTTTCTCAGGCAATATGCTTTTTATCAGTATGTGAAATATCCCGATATTAGAAATATTCCAGAACAAAAATATCCAAATAAATTGAATATTTTCAACTTCAAAATTTTCCAAATAAGCTTAGAAAGTGTCTAAAATCAACTCAACAACAATCCAGAGTATTGAATATGAGAAATCTTTTAAAATAGTTAATCATTATTAATTTTTGGGTCATATTTCTTTTATCTAAATTTCAGTTGCTTTTCATTGCATCTACTCAGACCACCATTCTATATTCAATCATAGTAATATTATTTTGAATTTTATTATTAGATGAAGTTTTTCAGCCATTATTAATGTTTCAATCATATTTCTTTCATTTTAATTTCAGTTTTTCATTGCATCTATCAGACCACCATTCTATATTCAATCATAGTAATATTATCTTGAATTTTATTATTAGATGAAGTTTTTTCAGCCATTATTAATGTTTCAATCATATTTCTTTCATTTTAATTTCAGTTGCATTTCATTGCGACTACACAGACCATCATTCTATATTCAATCATAGTAATATTATTTTGAATTTTATTATTAGATGAAGTGTTGTCAGCCATTATTAATTTTCAATCATATTTCTTTCATTTTAATTTCAGTTGCTTTTCATTGCATCTTCAGACCACCATTCTATATTCAATCATAGTAATATTATCTTGAATTTTATTATTAGATGAAGTGTTGTCAGCCATTATTAATGCTTCAATCATATTTCTTTCATTTTAATTTCAGTTGCTTTTCATTGCATCTACTCAGACCATCAATCATTCTATATTCAATCATGAAGTAATTATTATCTTGAATTTTTCTTTCATTAGATGAATTGTGTTGTCCATTCTATATTCAAACATTATTAATTGTTTCAATCATATTTCTTTTTGACAATTTTTTTCATTTCAGTTGCTTTTCATTGCATCTACTCAGACCACCATTCTATTCTATATTCAATCATTTTATTAGTAATATTATCTTGAATTTTATTATTAGATGAAGTGTTTTTTCAGCCATTATTAAATGTTTCAATCATATTTCTTTCATTTTTATTTCAGTTGTCTTTTCATTGCATCTTTCTTTTTTTTTTCATTCTATATTCAATCATAGTAATATTATCTTGAATTTATCTTGAATTTTATTATTAGATGAAGTGTTTTCAGCCATTATTAATGTTTCAATCATATTTCTTTCATCATTTTAATTTCAGTTGCTTTTCATTGCATCTACTCAGACCATCCATTCTATATTCAATCATAGTAATATTATCTTGAATTTTATTATTAGATGAAGTGTTTTCAGCCATTATTAATGTTTCAATCATATTTCTTTCATTTTAATTTCAGTTGCTTTTCATTGCATCTACTCAGACCATCATTCTATATTCAATCATAGTAATATTATCTTGAATTTTATTATTAGATGAAGTGTTTTCAGCCATTATTAATGTTTCAATCATATTTCTTTCATTTTAATTTCAGTTGCTTTTCATTGCATCTACTCAGACCATCATTCTATATTCAATCATAGTAATATTATCTTGAATTTTATTATTAGATGAAGTGTTTTCAGCCATTATTAATGTTTCAATCATATTTCTTTCATTTTTATTAGAAAATTTCAGTTTTCTTTCATCTTCATTTTACTTTTTTCATTGCATCTACTCAGACCATCATTCTATATTCAATCATAGTAATATTATCTTGAATTTTATTATTAGATGAAGTGTTTTCAGCCATTATTAATGCTTCAATCATATTTCTTTCATTTTAATTTCAGTTGCTTTTCATTGCATCTTCATTTTACTCAGACCATCATTCTATATTCAATCATAGTAATATTATCTTGAATTTTATTATTAGATGAAGTGTTTTCAATATTATTAATGTTTTCAATCATATTTCTTTCATTTTAATTTCAGTTGCTTTTCATTGCATCTACCTCAGACCACCATTCTATATTCAACATAGTAATATTATCTTGAATTTTATTATTAGATGAAGTGTTTTCAGCCATTATTAATGCTTCAATCATATTTCTTTCATTTTAATTTCAGTTGCTTTTCATTGCATCTACTCAGACCATCATTCTATATTCAATCATAGTAATATTATCTTGAATTTTATTATTTGATGAAGTGTTGTCAGCCATTATTAATGTTTCAATCATATTTCTTTCATTTTAATTTCAGTTGCTTTTCATTGCATCTACTCAGACCACCATTCTATATTCAATCATAGTAATATTATCTTGAATTTTATTATTAGATGAAGTGTTTTCAGCCATTATTAATGTTTCAATCATATTTCTTTCATTTTAATTTCATTTGCTTTTCATTGCATCTACTCAGACCATCATTCTATATTCTATAATTTATCTTGAATTTTATTATTAGATAATTATTATCTTGAATTTTATTTCTTTCATTTTAGATTTCAGTTGCTTTTCATTGCATCTCTATTAATGTTTCAATTCAATCATATAATTTATCTTGAATTTTATTATTTGAAGTTTGTCAGCCATTTTCAATTGCATTTTCAATTTCACTTGCTTTTTCATTGCATCTACTCATCATTCTATATTCAATCAAGTAGTAATATTATCTTGAATTTTATTATTAGATGAAGTGTTTTCAGCCATTATTAATTTTTCAATCATATTTCTTTCATTTTCAATTTCAGTTGCTTTTCATTGCATCTACTCAGACCACCATTCTATATTCAATCATAGTAATATTATCTTGAATTTTATTATTAGATGAAGTGTTTTCAGCCATTATTAATTTTTCAATCATATTTCTTTCATTTTAATTTCAGTTGCTTTTCATTGCATCTCCTCAGACCATCATTCTATATTCAATCATAGTAATATTATCTTGAATTTTATTATTTTATTAGATGTGTTGTCAGCCATTATTAATTTTTCAATCATATTTCTTTCATTTTAATTTCAGTTGCTTTTCATTGCATCTACTCAGACCACCATTCTATATTCAAAACATAGTAATATTATCTTGAATTTTATTATTAGATGAAGTGTTTTCATTTTGACTTATTTCAATGTTTCAATCCTTATTTCTTTCAAGTATTTTATTTTGATTTTAGTTGAATTTTCATTGCATCTACTTTCATTTTACCACCATTCTATATTCAATCAAGTAGTAATATTATCTTGAATTTTATTATTAGATGATGAAGTGTTTTCAGCCATTATTAATTTTTTGTTCTCATATTTCTTTCATTTTTAATTTCAGTTGCATTTTTATTTGCATCTTTCAGACCATTATTCTATATTTCAATCATATTTAATATTATTCATTGAATTTTATTATTAGATGAAGTGTTTTCAATTTTATTAATTTTTCAATCATATTTCTTTCATTTTAATTTTTTAGTTGCTTTTCATTGCATCTACTCAGACCACCATTCTATATTCAATCATAGTAATATTATCTTGAATTTTATTATTAGATGAAGTATTTCAGCCATTATTAATGTTTTGAATAATATTTCTTTTTTTAATTTTTTCATTGCATTTCATTGCATTTACTCAGACCATTATTCTATATTCAATCATATTAATATTTCTTGAATTTTTATTATTAGATGAAGTGTTTTCAGCCATTATTAATTTTTCAATATATTTCTTTCATTTTAATTTCATTTGCATTTTCATTGCATCTCCTCAGACCATCATTCTATATTCAATCATAGTAATATTATCTTGAATTTTATTATTAGATGAAGTGTTTTCAGCCATTATTAATGTTTCAATCATATTTCTTTCATTTTTATTTCAGTTGCTTTTCATTGCATCTACTCAGACCATCATTCTATATTCAATCATAGTAATATTATCTTGAATTTTATTATTAGATGAAGTGTTGTCAGCCATTATTAATTTTTCAATTTTCATATTTCTTTCATTTTAATTTCAGTTGCATTTCATTGCATCTACTCAGACCACCATTCTATATTCAATCATAGTAATATTATCTTGAATTTTTGTTATTAGATGAAGTGTTTTCAGCCATTATTAATTTTTCAATATTGTATTTCTTTCATTTTAATTTCATTTTTCATTTGCATTTTCATTGCATCTCTTCAGACCACCATTCTATATTCAATCATAGTAATATTATCTTGAATTTTTTATTAGATGAAGTGTTTTCAGCCATTATTAATTTTTCAATATTATTTCTTTCATTTTAATTTCAGTTGCATTTCATTGCATCTCCTCAGACCACCATTCTATATTCAATCAGTAGTAATATTATCTTGAATTTTTTATTAGATGAAGTGTTGTTCAGCCATTATTAATTTTTCAATATATTTCTTTCATTTTAATTTTTAGTTGCTTTTCATTGCATCTTTCAGACCACCATTCTATATTCAATCATAGTAATATTATCTTGAATTTTTTATTAGATGAAGTTTTTCAGCCATTATTAATTTTTCAATAGTATTTCTTTCATTTTAATTTCAGTTGCATTTCATTGCATCTATTCAGACCACCATTCTATATTCAATCATAGTAATATTATCTTGAATTTTATTATTAGATGAAGTGTATTGTCAGCCATTATTAATTTTTCAATCAATATTTCTTTCATTTTCATTTTAGTTGCATTTCATTGCATCTACTCAGACCACCATTCTATATTCAATCATAGTAATATTATCTTGAATTTTTTATTAGATGAAGTTATTGTCAGCCATTATTAATGTTTCAATCATATTTCTTTCATTTTAATTTTCAGTTGCATTTCATTGCATCTTGTCAGACCACCATTCTATATTCATCATCATAGTAATATTATCTTGAATTTTATTATTAGATGAAGTGTTTTCAGCCATTATTAATTTTTCAATCATATTTCTTTCATTTTCATTTCAGTTGCATTTCATTGCATCTACTCAGACCACCATTCTAT